CTGAACTGTGTAGTCAAGGACGAGGGGAAGGTGTGATTGATCATGCTATATGTAGTCTTTTAAGAGTAGTGCACTGAGATTTGGATTGCCCAAGCTGAAGCATGCTGCTGGCAGCGAAATAAGAACCTGATGCAGGAACAGCCACCTCAAATTGCTCGTTTTTTCCCAAAATTGGCTGGTTCCTCACCTCTGGCTGTGTACGCACCTCTGTGCAGTAGTCACCTGATGTCTCTCTGTCTCTGCAGGTTGCTCGCTGCAAACAGCTCATCTGTGACCCCAGCTACGTCTCGGACCGCGTAACGAAGGTCGGCCAAGTGATTCGGGTAATCTGCATCTTGAGCCACCCGATCAAGAACACAAACGATGCCAACTCATGCCAGATCATCATTCCACAGAATCAGGTCAACCGAAAATCAGGTGTGTGGAGAGCGGGGACGGCCGGGGCATACACAGGTCTCTTCGCATTTGGGTTGAGGCAGGGTGGTCGTTGAATGGCCTTGCACCAAACATGTGCTCTGATGGTCTGGTGAGATGTGAATCAAACAGGAAAATGCGTTTACTGCCGTGCCTGTGGCAGACTTCATGTCCTTATCCAGAAATCCTTTCAGCCCCAGCAAGGCTGTGTTCAGTTTAGGGCAGTGGTGGGGGAAGCTGGGGTGCCCGTGGTTGGAAAAGTCATGTGAGGAACCTGCCGAAGGAAGTGCCCCAACCTGGGAGAAGTGGGTGAGGAGCACAGGGATGCTCTGGGAGGGGGGTGACAGCTGTGTGCAGGAGGGGAAATGCTTCCTCGCCCTTGGACAGAGGGGTGGGCTCGCTGCTGGGGACCCTGCTGGCTTTTGGGAGCCGTCATAGCTGCAGGAACCTGAATTTTGGAGGTCTTGCTGAGCTGCTTGTGTCCATGCCCATCAGCCAAGAGACTGAGAGCACGTAGGACTGCAGGGCAAGCATGGAACTCAGTCAAGCGTGGTCTTAAACAAGACAAGGAGGTACAAAGTGTCTGGGGAGCAGGAGGAGGCCCATGAGTGTGCAAGCTAGAGGAAGCTTTTGGGATGAGGCAGGCCTGAGCCGGGCTGTTGGCTTCCCTGGAGCGTACTGACCTGCCGCTGTGATGTGCTTCCCCAGATATCTACGTCTGCATGATCTCCTCTGCGCACAACGTGGCAGCGCAGGGGAAGTACATCGCCATTGCCAGCACTACTGTGGAAACCGCGGACCCAGAGAAGGAAATCAAGCCGGCCTTGGACCTCTTGGAGCCCATTGAGCAGAAGTAAGGCCCTAAAAAGCCCCCTCTCCCCCTTCTCACGTCTGCTGTGAGCGCTTGGGTCTGAGGCATGAAAGCAGAGGAGATCTGAAGGTCATTTGGCTGCACAGAGGTGTTAAAACTCTGAGTTTCCTCTGCACTTTGATTGCTTACATGCTGGATAGAGCAATTACCTTTAGTTCAGCCATTTTTGCACCCATACTGGTGGCTCAGCGATGTTCTAGAACCATTATGAAGTGCTTTTTTTTTTTTTTTTTTTTAACTCTTTAACTCTTTCCAGGTTTGTTAGCATCAGTGACCTGTTTGCACCGACCGACTTGGGAACCGAAAGCCAGGTTAGTTAAGTGCTGCGCTGGTGTTTGAGGGGGTGAGGGGAGAGGCTGGACGCTAACGGCCGCTTCTCTTTCCAGATCTTCATTTCTCGCACCTATGACGCCACTACTCACTTTGAGACGACGTGCGATGACATCAAAGATATTTATAAGAGGATGATGGGATCAGAGTTTGACTTCGAAGAGATGAAACGCAAGAAAAATGATATCTATGGGGAGGAGGAGCTGCAGTAATGAGAATCTCTAATTAGGAGAAATTTAAATCGGCTAATATGAATATATAAGGAACTTAATGAACACTGTATGAAATTCAATATTGTAAGGCCTGCTTTTGTAATCCCATCTCTGAGAGATTGAAGAGTACTGCACTGGTAATGTTCCCCTTTTGGATATCATGTGTTAATTATTTCATTCTAGTAGGGCTGCTGTCCAGAATCTGGCAAATTACTGACTGATTTAACGACTAACCTCGTAAGTGAAAGGCAGACTGAACCTTTTTTTTGGGTTTTTTTTTTTTTTTTTTTTGCAGACGTAGACGTTGGTGCAGATTTAAAATAACTCATTGACAGCTGTGTCTTACCTTGTATTTTTAATCATTTGTAAACATCCTTCACAATTATGTGCTTCTGGTGAGCTAGTAGATGTGACGGTTGTCACTCAAACCTGATATCAAGGAAAATAGAAACTGAGCACTCCATTATTGTGGACAGCATCCCTAAAGTCTCTTCCCATCAATCTAACTCTGTGGCAAGTTGTATTATGGACAAAGCCCACATCTATTGTAGCAGCAAATGTTGGCTTAGTTCTGGGCACAGAACTTAACCTCCACTTAAGCTTCGAAAACTGTTTACATCGGTTGGGACACAGCTGTGCCTAAGGCTCCTTTGTGTTTTAATCTTAATAAAATTGAGAGAACAAATTACAGAGCAGGCAAGATGTGGAAGTATTTTCTGTACCCTGGTGGCTTCTCGGATGGACCAAACGGCACTGCGGTATCGATATGACAGAGCCTGTGCTTCTCGGGTCTCCTGAAGGCTCCAAATGATTTCTGTACTGCGAAGTAAAGCCAAATTCTGGAAACCAGTCCTGTGCTCTGGTCTGATTCACTTCAGTTGTACGAGCAGCATCTCCTTTCCGAGATCCCTTGGATCTCTGCCCACCAGGGTTGAAATGTGAGCAGTGCAGAGCATTTCCTACTAGAAAACAGGCTTCCCTTGGTTGGGCTTCCCGGTCCCAGCTGCTCTCGGGGCTGCTTTTGGCAGGGAAGAAGATGCCACAGCACAAGGCCTGTCACTGCAGCTGTGGGTAGGCGCAAGCCTGCTCGCTCCCTGCAGGCACCCCCTAGTGCCTGCATCCAAAAACGGCACTTGCTCGAAGCAGTAGTAAATAATTCTTGCTCTTGTGGCTCCTCTACAGGGCATTCATCTCTCTGAATAAGAGCTGCTCCTCTTCAGAGTGAGCCTGACTGATCCCCTGGCTCGGATTTTGCAGCCTGAAGCAATGCTGCTCTTGGGCAGCAGGTGTACGGCGAGCGGCAGGGCCAGGAAAAACGAGAAAACGCCTTGGAACAGCTTTCTTGGCTGCAGTGCTCGGGCAGGTAGGATCGCTGGTACAGGATTCAGCCTTCCCTTCAGCCATGGCTGTGCCGCTCTCATGCTGCTGCTGAAGAGGAACTGGGTCTTTGACCATATCTCGTTCACCAACTGATGCTGCGCTAAGCCTGGCTGCAGCTGCCCTTCTCCTTCCTCTCTCCCTGGGTTTAGGGGCTTTCGGCACTTCCTCTCCTGGGGAACTGGTTCAGGGAACCACCTTTCCATTTTAAGCCGCTGGGAGCCCGGTGGCCCGTGCTGCTGGTGCGGGGTGTGTAGCCGTGGCTGGGCAAGTTCTCCCTTGCCTTGTGCTTCCTCTCTTGAGCTGCTTCAGTGCTCAATGGCAACAAGATGAGCCTTTTCAAAGGCAAGATAGATCTAATGCATGTGGAAAATGGGCTCCTTCATGCTACTGTTAGCCCTCTCTGCTGTAACCTGGTTATTCCTTCCTCTGGAGGAGGAGGGTGCTGATCCTGCAGTCCCGAGTCTCCACGAGCCCACCACTGTTAGAGTCAAGCAGTCTTTCTCACCCTTTCCTCCTAGTGTGGGCTTCAAAGTTGGGGGGTACTGCAGAACAAAGCTGACTTCTGATCTATGTGTGAGCTGGGAAAGCTGCCATCCTCTTCTCCTGCTGATGGGAGAGGCTGGGTGCCGAGCAGGAACCCCTCTCCAGAGAGCAGCAGTGTGTGAAATTTAGTTTTTATTAATCAAACTCTATACAAAAGTCATCCTGTACATAACGTTCTTGCATTCTTTTATTAAAAAAAAAAAAAAACAACAAAAGAGGACAACCCTGTCCTCTACATCCATAGGTAAGATATCTTACAAGGGTCTTAATTGTGGCATTTTCTTCCCGGCGCATGTTTGTCCGAGCCACCATAAATAACAGCTTTTTGTTCCTGCAGCCTGTTGTCTGGCTATTTACAAGACTTCCACATGCTGAAACACACTCGAGTCCCAGCAGTGAAACGGTACCAAGAGGCAACAGGGGTGACTTGAAAGGTAGTGTAGAGTGGACTGTCGCAGGCTCACCCGCACTCGGGCGATGGTCATTAACACCCATTTACAACAATGTACACCCACCCCAGTGGCTAACACATGCATCTTGTGTACAGTATGTACAGCAACAGCCATGTGGACAATGCATTTATTACCGTGGATTCGTATCCCTCCTAACCTTCAAGTAAATGTTTTGGGGTTTTTTTTTTAACCTATTTTCCTATTTCTTCCAATGTCAGCTGCACTAATCACCTGAAAACACTCCAATAATTTAAAACTGTGTAATGTTAAAATAACCATCTGTCCTATATGCAACTCGATGGCAGGGAATAAATCCCCATGAGGATTTGCATTAGCCATCTTTAAATAATTTCTATATACAGAACTAGAGCCAACCTTCCCCCACCACCTCTCCTGTGTGCAGCACCCGAAACCCACCGGGATGTCGGGGCTGTCCTGCAGAGGACTGGGATGCCCAAACCAGCGCTGCAGGGCCCGAGGAGGAGAAGCCGTGCTGCCGTTTCACTTCATCACCTGCAACACATGAGATGTGACACAGGTTATTGCTCTGCTTCCCTCAGCATCGATGTCTCGCAGAGCTTCCCCAGGGCAAGCACTGGTGCGTTTCCCGTTGCCGGTGGTGCTGAGTGTGTCTCTGCCGAGCACAGGCCATCTCGGTTACAGCTTCAGGAGTCAGCCCTAAGTCTCACGAAAGCCGCAGCAGATCCTTCAGCCAGTCCCTGGGGAAGGTCCCTGCTCTGCTGTGGAGCTGCTCCCAGACTTTTTGGGGGAGAAAGGACCGATCCCGAGCTCCCCCCCTTACCAGTAGCTTCTTCTAAACGGGGCAGCAGCTTTCTGCACCGTCCCAAGGAAGGTGTTGATGTCGGCCACGAGGATTCCTTTGCTTTCAAGGACCTCCCTGCTGACGCTGGGCTTTTCTGCAATGGAAGGAGTGGCACCGTAATTCAAACAAGCAAACCAGCTTGTTCTGAAACCTACAGAAAACATCCTCGAATCCCACTGCAGTTATTCTGTTTTGCAAATGTGAGCAGATTAATGGCACCGCTTTGCAAACAGCCTCAGCCCAGCAAGGCCAGAATTAGAGCGTGACGTAAAGCCATCCGCAGGCTCGAAAAATTGCCAGAATGTAGCAGCGCTCCAAAAATCTGTTCACTTTGTCTTTTACCACACTGGCTTGCACTGAATCAGCTCGTACCTTACCCACACCTCAAATAAGTGATTCTAACAGAAATGGGACCAAAATGGGGTGGGTTTTTTGTCCCTCCTCCACCACCTCCCAGGCCAATTTAAGACGGTGCTCATTGGGGTTGAGGGCAGCAGCACAGGGCAGCGCCTGGAGCCCGTCCTCACCTGTGAGATACACAGCGAACCTGGCGCTGACGTGCTGAACCTGCAGGTTCAACAAGCAGTTGATGTACTCGGATTTGGGGGACGACCCGGAGTCGCAGGCGTGGTAGTGCAGCACCTCGATGAGATCAGCTCCTTGGCACGATTTGAGGATCAAGTGCTTCTTGCGGGTGTTGGCGTCCACCCTGCCGGGAGAGGGACGAGGTGAAGTAGTGAGGGGCTTCACCCCTCTCTCTCTCCTCCCAGGAAATGAGCAGGTATGACGGAACCTGCCTTGCCCCATGTGTGTTTCTTCCAGCCTCGTGGGTGCTTTTACACTTGTTACCCTGCACTAAATGGAGATGTTAGGAGCAAGCGTCACCGTACGGATCACGTGTGCAAGCAGGAAAACAAAATGACCCCTTGCTCCAAGCAGCTCCGACAGACCACGGCTCGTGATCCCACCACAATGGAGTGAAGAGCTGCTACACGAGTGCCAGTGACGGAGCACAAGGAAAACACTCACTGCACAGCGGCATCCACTGATGCAGCCGAGTCCTCATCACACAGACTACCATGAAATACCTGACCCCAAGCTTCCGTGACACCTCACTGCTCGAGGACTGAAAACCAGGTCTTCTGCTTTGTGCTATCGCCGTAAAGGCTGAGCGTGGAGAGGATCCGAGATTCTCCCAATTTGTAGCATTTTCTGCTCAGACAGAACAGACCAGTTTCCTCTTTGTTCGCATGTTGTTACTAGAAAGCTGTCCTTTCTGGCCTGTGGTCTGACACTAACAAAGGCAGCCCACCTGATAAAAACATCCCTCTCTGAGTTCAAATGGGACAAAAGCAGGACATTTCAATGGATAGCATTCACCGTCTTACTTCTCTTTTTCAAATTGCATCACTTAAATACATGTTGTTGCAAATAACTGAAAATAAATAGCAAATAGCAACAGGAGAAGTTCTGCTTTTCCCACCAGGGTTTGATTTTGCGCGTGTCCCATGACACCCTGGTTCCTCTCAACGCTACAAACTCAGAGCTCCTCATCGCACACCCAAATCCCACACATGATGGGACAGAAAGAGAAACAGCAAAGAGACGGTGGGGTGGAGAGAGTCCCAGGAAGGTCCCCCGCGCTGCCAGGGTGGGTGTGTGTGCAGGAGCTGGGATGAGCTGGTGGGAAGGGAGCTTAGTCTGCAGAGGCAGCTTTCAAGAGCGTGCAGCTCCTCAAATGAAATTTGTGCCTTTCCCCAAGTCCCTTGCAGGTTTTAACACTCACAGAGGGTGTCTCTGCCAAAGAGAGGGGAAAACTGCCTTATGGAGATACAGCGGGGTGCACGAAGCAGCTGCCAGAGCTCTGCCTCATCCAGGATCACGTGCAACACACGTTTGGGGCCATCTGATCCTCTCCAGTTCCCATGTCCTGCTGCTCCATCTCATATAGGTATAACAAAAAATCTTTACTTGCACTTTACTTGCTAGCAAGCAAATGCTGACCTACGGCAATTCCAGACTTGAGGCATGTGCTCTCTCTCACTGATAAGAAAAGTTCTTATTTAAACAAAAATCTTCAAATTCATCTTGTAAGAAGCCACAACCCAACCAGAGGCACCTAAGTCACCCTGTGGCCCTGCACTGAGTGTAAAAAAGGACACCACACCCCACCACAGTGGGTACGACCTCGCTGCAGTGGGGAGGACAGCAGGGACAAGGGAGCTGCCACTGCAGAGCTGTTACCTGATGTCTTCTCTGAGCTTCTTGCTCTCCTTGTAGTGAAGGAGCCACTTCCATCTCCCGCTTCTGTTCAGCTTCTCCAGCACCTTCACCACCTCTTTCAGTTGGCCTGGGGGGACAGCAAGAGCCAGAGGGTAACCAAGGGGTGCCTGGGGGACTCTGGCCCAACCCCTGCTCAGTTGGGCCACCTGAGGTTGCCCAGGGCTTTGTCTAGGTGGGGTTTGAATATCTCCAAGGATGGAGACTCGCAACCTGGGCTGTGAAACTGGGCTTCCATCCTCCTGTTTGAACATCCTGTGACTTTTTCCCCCTAATATCTAAAAAAGGTAAGGGCAGATTGCCGCTGTCACCTCTTGACCCATCACTGCGCATCATTCTCCAGGAGCTGTGTGGCTCTGTTTTCTCTGCCCCTTCCCATTAGTGACCCAAAGAGAACAGCAAGGTCTCCGCTTTGCCCTCCCTTGTCCAGGCTGAATGTCCTTGTACAGCCCCAGCTCCAGCCCCTCATTGTCTTGGTGGCCCCTGCTGTACTTAGATGTTTTGGGGAGCCCTGACCTGGACCCATTATCCAGACATGGTCTCAGATGGCAAATAAAGAGAAAGAATTGCCCCCATTAAAGCAGGAGCTGAGGATGCCAATGGCAAGTTTTTGGAAGGTGTCAGCAAACCAGCGGACAAAGCCGGGAGCCAACACTGCGTCTGCACCCAAGCAAGAGGCCGCAGCGAGACTCACCCAGCGTTACCGTTTCCAACACCTCATTGTCTGACACCACGAAGCCACCGGTATGAAACAGCTCCTGGTATGTGCGACCTGCTACATCTTCAGGGCTGTCCACTCCGGCAAACACCACATCCGGACAGTGTTTTAGCTTCAGCAAGCACGGGACCTGCTCAAGGCAGAGATGTTTTTGCACACGCAGCTGAGTTTCAACAGCATTTGCACCTCTCTGCAACTCACGCCCGCTCCTGGAGACCTGTGGAACCCACCCCACCCTCTTCTGCATCACCCCAACGCTCGTGTCTCCATCACCCAACCACCAAGCTGTGGACAGGGAGTTACAGGCAGGTCAGTCTGCTGCAATATTCACTGGAGTCCACAAGCCAAAGCCTGGCTGAACTGCTCCGTTACAGAAGATAACAGAGATAAGTTTCAGCCTGAAGAGAAGGCTCTGGGGAGACCTTATTGCGGCCTTCCAGTACCTAAAGGGGGCCTACAGGAGAGCTGGGGAAGGACTTTTTACTAGGGCATGTAGTGATAGGACGAGGGGGAATGGCTTCAAACTCGAAGAGAGGAGATTTAGATTAAATATTAGGAAGAAATTTTTCATTTTGATGGCAGTGAGCCCCTGGCACAGGCTGCCCAGTGGAGCTGTGGCTGTCCCATCCCTGGAGGTGTTCAAGGCCAGGTTGGACGGGGCTTGGAGCAACCTGGGCTGGTGGGAGGTGTCCCTGCCCAGGGCAGGGGGGTTGGAACCAGGTCATCTTCAAAGTCCCTTCCAACCTAAACCATTCTATGATTCTATGATAAGCCCAGTCTGACTCCTTTGAGCTGGGCTATTCCAAGTGATGTTACTCAACGATCAAAAACGGAGACAGAAGAAAAGCAGAACTGACAGGCTTCATCTTTTTGAAATACATGTTTATAACAGCTCTTCATGAAGCACTGTTCTTTCAGTGGAGAGAACAGTGCATCTGAAGATACTGACAATTAAATCTACAGCTACACATAGTGTAAAATCTAAAATGTTTAAAATGGATCCCGATATTCAAAAATGGTGCTGGTAGAAAAAAAAGGACGGACTTAGGCCTTACGTTGTGGATGTGCGAGGAAATGTCTTCGTTCCTGATGACGACAAGCAGCCTGTTGGCGTCCGGGCGTTTCGCTTCGCAGAAGCTCAGAGGTTCGATCTCCACGCGGCCATCTTTCTTCAGCAAGGTCTGAAACAGAAATCGCGTAAGAAGTTTTGTATGGAGACTGTCTTCATAGCAGCGGTGATGTGCTCCGGGCACACACGTGTCTAGGGACAAGGAGAGAGGAACGATACAGCAACCCCAGCCAGGCACCCTGGTGTCAAGGGCACTGTACACCAGGCTGGGGCTCCAGCCAGAGGGGGAAGAAGCAGTCATTTACTTTAGTTGGCAAAAACCTTTCAGAAAACCACCTTGAGCATCTCATCTCATCTCATCATGCATGGGGCGTCCTTGCTATTTTGGAGCAGCAAATCTTCCCATGCAATTACCTTCCCCAAGTTCTCAACCCTTTAATGGGAGCTCAAGCAAAAGCCACTTTGCAGGAGCTGAGTTTGGGCTGCTCCTGCATGAATCGTGATCTGTTTTGGCCCAGGGGATGGTCAAGCGATAGGACAAGAGGAAATGGCCTCAAGTCGTGCCAGGGGAGGTTTAGATTGGATATTAGGAAAAATTTCTTCACGGAAAGGATTGTCAATCATTGGATCAGGCTGCCCAGGGAAGGGGTTGAGTCACCATCCCTGGAGGTATTTAAATGACATGCAAATGTGGCACTTAGGGACATGGTGGACTTGGCAGTGCTAGGTTTACGGTTGGACTTGATGATCTTAATGGTCTTTTCCAACCTAAATGATTCTATGACTCTAATTTCTAGCAGTGGGAGCCGAGATAAAATGGCAGAGGCAGCTCCTGACTTAAGGGAACCAAATGCCATCCCTGCCGGGTTGAGCAAGCTTGCCCTGCGCCTGCTCCTGCTGCCCTCAGCTCTCACCCCAGGGCCACCCGTCCCCGTCCAGGCCGGCAGGACTGGCTGTTACCTTCACTCTTGCAAAGAAAGGGTCCTTGCCCGTCTCCACCAAGTAGAACATGCCGGCGTGGCTGCAGGCTTCCTTGGCCATGCTGCGCAGGTGGAAATGCAGTGAGCTACACAGGTCCGCAATCATCTCCTTGAAGGCAGCCGTTCTCCCTGGGAGGGATGTGCACATCTGCTCACTCGTGGCCTCCCTGGGCACTGGGACTGGCCCTCCACCCTCACTCCCTGTATCAGTCCTGCTCAGCATCACCCTGTTGAACTCAGCGTACTCATTGAGGATGACGGCGATGTCCCCCCGCGAGTCCTTTAGCTTATTATCGTATTTGAGCTTGCTGAGGTGGAAAGGAGCTGCGCGGCCCTGGCTCATGGTTCGGGATCTGGCCCTGCTCCTCTCGTCACAGAGGGTGTCCTGCCATGGGGTACAAGGGTCCCCACGCCAGCCGCTCTGCTGGTGCCAGCCGAGCCTGCTCGGCCACGTGTTGGAGGGCAGGATCGTCACCTGCAAAGGGCTCCTGCTCCGAGGGAAGGGTGGGACAGGAGCTTCTTGCACAGGCAATGTCTCAGACATCACCTGGGGGGAAAAGTCTTTTGGAAAGATGCTCTTGGAGGTAGAAAAGGGTGGTTTCCTATTCCTTAGGATTTGTTTTAGCTTATAACGGAAACGGAGACACTCCATGTCCACAGTGTGCTGGGTGATTTCCTCAAAATCCCTCCAAGTCCCCATCAGTGACCTTAATAAATGAGACTGCCCCGCACAGTGGCTGCGCCTCTTTGAAGGCTGCAAATTTCCCATTCTCTCCTGCCAGTTTTTGGTGACTACAAAGTTCTGGTAGTCCTTGGTGATCCCCTGGCTGTCCCTAATATTGACGTATGGTGGAACGTGCCTGCTGCTGGCTTCCCCCAGGCCAATCGACCAGCCACGCTCAGCCCATGAGCAGCTCTCCTCTGTGCCCAGTGAGCCCCAGTCCTCACTGCACCCCTCTGTGTGCACCGAGCTCATGGAGGAGGAGTCGCAGTTAGTCCGTGTGCCTGCAGCACCTACAGGTCTCGTGCTGTAGGAACCTGTGGCTGTAAGCAGGGACTGTGAAGTCACCCCAGAATATTCCTGGTCTGAGTCGCCAGAGAAAAACTCAAACAGATCTTCAGAGGTTAAGCCCACATGTCTGTCTCTGCTGGGGAGCTGCTTTGCCCTCAGGAGCAGGTCTGAAATATCCTCAGTGTCACTAAGCTCGAGGCTCTCTCCAGTGATTCCTCTGCATGCACATAATGGCAACATTGGGAAGGGGAGAGTAGGGATTTCTCCCTCTCGCACCTCCATGCTGGCATGGTGCAGATCAGCAAATGCATCAGATCCTTCAGCCTTGTGTCTGCCCTGGTTGCACACAGACTGGGGCTCATAGAGTGGCATATGCAACTCCCCTGCTGAAAACGATACAGGACTGGCAAGAGGGATGCTGCTTTCTCCTTCTGAATCCTCATGCAGGATGGGTTCCTTCTCATGGCTCCCTACCATGCCTGATGCTTGGTCCCCAGGGCTGGCACACCTGCAGCAGGCGCCTGGTGGCAGCTGTCCCATGCAGCAGGACCTTGGAGCACCACCTGGAGCCAGACTCGCGCTGGGGGAGCACGTCTCAGGGTGCACACCAATGACCGAGTCCGGCTCAGTGCTGTGCAGACCTGCCTTGTGGTTGCGCGGAGGAGAAGGAGGCATCGATCTCGGGCTACCTGGCACAAGCACATCTGCAGGGGAGCTCTCTGCTGGCTCTGCATAGCACAGACCTGTGTCTTTTTTCACCTCTTCTGCACATCTGGGTTTTAAGAAGCCATCCGGGCTCTCAGCAGCCACACTCATCTCTGCAGCACATACTTGCTCATAGGGTTTCCCATGTTGGCACAGGACTGGCCCCGGCTCACTTCGCTCTAACGAGTAGTTGGGGGTGTTTGTGTCACCACCATGGAGGAGAGGGTGCTGCTGGGGGGCAGAAGCAGGAGCCGAGCCTGTGTGGGCAGGTGGGGACAGTCCGTTTGGGGAGGGCTGCTGCTGCCTGGGCTGCTCCTTCATGGCAGACATCCCCCCCCTCACCAAGGAGGAGGGCTCTGATTCCAGGAGGTGATGAAGAGAGGTCTCTGGCTCCTGCAGTACATTAGCCACCAGCGCCGTGTTTGTTTTGTCACTCCTGGGGGACTTCTCTGCACTGAGGCACACATCATCGCTCTCCCCAGCTTCAGAGCCACGTGCTAAGGCTGTACAGTCAAAGGCAAAGCTCTGGCCATCACCTGCCCCCAAGGACTCATCCAGCACATCTGTTTGGTTGGCAGAAGGGCTGCTATGCTGTTCTTCCACCAAAACCTTGTTCCCTTCTTGGTTTGATTCACCAGCGCTCAGTGAAGTGAGGTCAGCATAAACATTGCCTCCACACCTTTGGGAAAGGCAGCTGCTCCCTCCCAGGCCGCTCTGCGATGGAGACTGGATGCCTGCCATGGCCTCCTGGTCCTCTGGAGCTGCCCCTGGCTCTGTTGCTCCATCAAGAGATGTCATGCAGACAGAGCTGGAGTCAGGGGACAAGGTTAGTGACAGTCCCTGGCTGCACGGTGACTCGAGGCCAGCTGTGCCTGCAGCTTTGCTCCCAGCAGGCACCCACCTTTCTGCAGAGGGCGCACGATCCTTGTCTTTCTGCTCCAAGCCGTCCCCAAGTGTCTCTCCAGCAGGTCCCAAGTTTCCTGTAATGCTGTCTGGCTGTGCCCCACAGACAAGGCTCGGATCAGATGGTAACGGCGGCATCAACCCGCTGTCACGGGGTGACCCCATATGATCTGGACTGGCTGTGTGTGCCAAAGCAACACCATTTGTCTCTGCATCTGGGGTGGCCAGAGCCTCCCACGGCTCTTGCAGTGTGTCCAGGCTTGGTGCAATCTCACCAGGAAGCGCCTGAGGGCCAGTCTCAGTCCCAGTCCCATCTGACAGCACTGGCATTGACCTGCCTGCGCAGGAGGATGCTGAGGCAGCAGGGCTGGGCACAGGGTCCTCTCCACGAATGCCAAAGTCGTTTGGACACGCTGAATTCACTGGCTTCTGCTCACTGTGTTCATGCTCCATGTTGGCATCGCCGTTTTCAGAAAATCCTAAATCAACAGGCCCCAGGAGTGTGCTTTCATGCTCAGAGTCCTCTTTCTCTTTTTTTCCCTCCTCTGCCTCTTCCTCCTGTTTTTCTGGATGTCTGAAGGGGTCTTGTGATTCCCTCCGTTCCCCACTGGCTCCGTCAGGCTTTGCACTTCTGGGATGCGCTTCTAAGGGCATCGAATCACAGGTACGTTGCAGTCCATCACTGGTGGCCCAGCTGCTGTCCTCAACCTCCATACAATGTCCAGCGTCTGCCACGCTCTCCCTGTCCTCAGGAGGGCCGGGGCCACCCCCTGATCCTGCTGCCCATCTACTCTCTTGCTGATCTCCACATCCATGCAGCGCACTCGATGCCTCGCTCCAGGCGGCTGTACTGGAATTCAGGGCTCGGTTGCATAGGTTTTCCCTGCTCAGTGCAGTGGGGGGCTTGCCGACATCACCAAGCTCATCGGAAGGGCCGGGGGTGATTGCAGCGTCCAGCAGTCCCTCCTTGGGTGGTTCCTCCTGAAACAACACAATTCAGAGTTTAATCTTCAAGGGAGGCAAATGCAGGAGCTAAGACTCCCGTGCAGGAGGATATGGATACTTTAAATGCTCAGACATTGTGAGTGCAACCATCCCAACAGCAACTGGGGAGATTAGTTTGAGTTTGTCTCTAAAACAAGCCCAGGTTGAATCCTTACCCTGTGTGAGCCACTACCATCTCCACTGCAGCCAGCAAGCAGAGTCCCACAGACAGCCAGGGAAAGGTTTTGAAACTTTCTACCTTCTTTACACCATGAAATGGCTTAAAAGTTGGCCAAAGTGTGCAGGGGCCATCAGCTCGTGCCCAGAGGTAACGTATGCAGCACCATCCTCTTACCTCCACTGAATTTATCCATCCGAGCAAGCTATATGGACACTATGGACAGTGATCCCACATTTCCTCCCAAAACACTTCTGCCTGCTCCACAGCACTAAACCCAGGTGGTAAAAAACACTGGGATATTTTTTCCTTCATGCAAAACAGTTGCAGCCTTATGGCAGCTGCATGTTTGTTCAGGGCGGAAGTTTTAAAGGAATTATTTCAGTTCAAGAATTCAGGCTTGAAAGTATCGGCAGACACCCACATTTTATATTTACCCAAGTACCTCCACTCCTGACCATCTGCAGACCATAGAAACTGTAAAAACTAATTTTAAAAACCCTACTCGGAATGGGGTAAGGGAAACGTTGCAAAGCACTGCACTGCCATCGTGGGGGAAACCTCTCCAAGCCAGCACAGCTCAGCTCTCCCAAACCAGCAGAGGAAAAGCTGTGCCGTGTCCCCTGACACATCTGGGCTGCTGCAACCATGGGTGAGCAAATGCAGCTGCCCACAGGAGACAGGCGGGTTTTTGAGTCCCAGTCTGGGGTGTTTGTGGTTCCTTTCGTCCCTAGTTAAGTGCAGGTCTGAGACCTGGTCCAAGCTCACACAGCTCACAGCTGAAACCAGGAACAGACACCGAGCTCCAGACTTTAATTGCTCTATTTTTTTGGGATTCCTCCCCCTTGGAGAGCGTTCATGTTGAGGCCCTGCTCCCATGGACAGGGACAGATATGGTTCATAGCAGAGCCCGGGGATGCCAGCTCAGTCCAAGAGGATATCCAAACCCGGACTGAGGCCTGAAAGCTTCTTTACAGTGACTCTAAGCATGTCTGTGTGGCAGTCACTTGGGGCAGATAAATGCTGGGGGACGTTTCTCTGTCCTGCTTTGGGGACCCCCCACTACCTGCCTCTAAGAGTCCACAAGCACACCTGCTCCACTCCTCTCAGAAGATCCTACTCCTACAAGTGCAAAATGCTTGGTGTGCCCTGTAAATTCGCATCTCCCAAACCCCAGGCTCTTACCACAGTGATGGCCGAGATGTCATGCACATGCTCCTCAGGAACGACTGCCGGCTGCCCGTCTTTCACAGCCATGCTCTCATCAGCATGTTCAGCGAGGGAAAGGCTCTCAGGACAGCTTGTGGAGGAAGGCTCCTCCTCCCCACAGGAAAAGTCCCCTGAAGAAGATGATACCATACTATCGACAACACCAGGAGTCCCATCAGCATCAGTCTGAGAGTCTGCAGGGCTTTCCTCTAGGCGGAAAGGTCCCTGGCAACGTGTGCTGCGATCCAGAGAGCTGCTGGGTGTCTGGTCAGGGTCTGACCGAGAGTCTGCAGGGCATGTCTCCAACCCAAACCAGTCCTCACCGTCATCACTCAGCTCAAGAAAGTCCCCAGTGCTATTTATTGAGACGTACTTCTCAGGGTTGCTGTGCTCCACCACCTTCCTCGTGCTACTCAGGAGTTTGCTGGGTTTGCTGTAGAAGAGAGCCACCCACATATGAAGTATGAGCTTCATCTCTTCCACATCGTCAGGCAGATCAGGGTCCCAGGGCCTGGAAGGAAAAGCAAACACAGCCTGAAACATCTTCATTCTCCCTCCAGTTGATTAGCACAAGGTAACTCATCTCCTGGTCCCCCACGGTACTAAGCCCCAGTGCAGGGGAGTTGCAAATGCCCAGCTGCAGCCACAGATCACTTGATGCAGTTTCCAGCTTGATGAAAAAAAGGGAAACTCATAGCTGCAAAGGAGAACTTGCTTTCATGGCTCCAGGTACCAATTCTAGCTGCAGAGACACAGGAATCATAGGATGGTTTGGGTTAGGAGGGACCTTTAGAGACCATCTACTCCACCTCCCACACCATGGGGGAAGATGCCAGTGACATCTTCCACTAGATCAGGTTGCCCAAAGCCCCGTCCAACCTGACTTTGATCACTTCCAATGATGGGGCATCCACAACTTCTCTGGGCAACCTGTGCCAGTGTCTCACCACCCTTGGCATAAAACACATCTTCCTTATGTCCAAACCAAACCTACCCCCTTTCAGTTAAAAACCATTCCCCCCTTGTCCCATCGCTCCCCTCCCTGATCAAGAGTCCCTCCCCAGCTCTCCTGGAGCCCCTTTAGGCACTGGAAGGGGCTCAAAGGTCTCCCCGAAGCCTTCTCTTCTCCAGGCTGAACCCCACCAACTCTCTCAATCTGTCCTCCCAGCAGAGGGGCTCCAGCCCTCAGAGCATCTTAGACGGCCTCCTCTGGACCTGCTCCAACAGCTCCATGTCCTTCTGCTGTTGGGATCCCCCGAGCTGGAGGCAGCACTGCAGGGGGGTCTCCCCAGAGTGCAGCAGAGGGGCACAATCCCCTCCCTCGCCCTGCTGGCCACGCTGCTGGGGATGCAGCCCAGGATGCAGTTGGCTTTCTGGGCTGCCAGCACACATTGCTGGCTCATCCAATTATTCAGCCACCAAGTCCTTCTCCTCAGGGAAAGCAGAGGGACATCAAAACTGGGCATTACGGGGGAAAAGGCACTTATCATGCAAAGCAAAACAAAAGAAGAGCAAAGGAATCCCCTTCCAAAAGCTCTCCAGCTGTCCAGCAAGAGATGTCCCCTGCAGATGGCCTTCCAGACTGACTTACCCGTGCAGGGCGCGGATGACTGTTTTCTCCAGGGCATCATTGGTGTACCTGCTGTCCAAATTGAAGAGATACTCTGCCTCCCAATGGCACGTCACCTTCATGGACTCGCCACAGATGTTCACTGTGTGGGACTTGGCGAAGTCCTCCTTCAGCCTCGGGGAGAGCAGGCTGCTCCTGCGCCTCATCGTCACAGCCTCGAAGGGCCGCTGTGGGTGGGTGCTGTTCTGCTGGTGGCGGAAAGGCAGGACTTTCCCAACCAGGGGTCCTGCTCGGGCGTTCCTCGTTCCATTTCTGGAGAGTGCTGGTCCAGGGTAGGGGGCACCTCTGGGATACATGTGTTTCTTCGAGTGCTCAGGCATCTGCGAGGCATATGAGTGCTCGGCAGAGATGAAGGAGTGCTTGTTCACCTTGACAGCTTCTTGAGTCTCTCTTGGAGGCAATGCCTGGGGTTTTGCAGGGCTGAGGCTCGCACTGTTCTTCTTGCTGAGAATCCCAGGGCTTTTGTCCCTGGGAACAGAGGCCAAGTCATTTAAGTCTATTTTTTCAGCAAGAGGAAGCTTCTGGTTCAGCGGTGCTTTGCTAGGAGAGGTGGCTCCCTTTGCAAGCTTGTCTACCCTGTGATATTCGTGGTCAGAAGCAACTCGCAAGGATTTGTGCTTGCGATGACTCTGCTGCTCCTTTGCAGGGTCACTGGAGGGGCTGCAGGACACAGCGATCATCCCGCTGTCCATGGGGATAAATGGAATACAAGAACCCAGAGCCAGATCAGCCAGCAAGTTCAAGGCGTGGGACTCGTAGTCATTCCCCTTCAGATTGAAACCAAGATCAGCAGCCCTGACTGGGTAAATCTCACTGGTTTGGCTATCCGCTCTGCGGTGTTGGGAAGAAACTTCGCTCGGGAGGACAGTGAATGGTTCCTTCCACTCTGCATGAGAAAAACAAAGTCAGAGAATGAACGAAGGCCACAGAACTCTGCCCCAAGAAGGGGTTCAAAGCAGACTTTGCAGGAAAAAAGTGTCTCTCTCTCTCGGTTTTGGCTGGGATAAAGTTAATTTTCTTCCTAGTAGCTGGTATAGTGCTGTGTTTTGGATTTGGTATGAGAATAATGTTGATAACACACTGATGTCTTTAGTTGTTGCTAAGTAATGCTTATACTAAGTCAAGGACTTTTCAGCTTCCCATGCTGTGCCAGTGAGGAGGTACACAAGAAGCTGAGAGGGAGCACAGCCAGGACAGTTGACCCAAACTGGCCAAAGGGGTATTCCATACCATATGCTGTCATGGTCAGTATATAAACTGGGAGAGTTGACTGTGGGGGGTGAAATCACTGCTTGGGAATGGGCTGGGCATTGGCCAGCGCATGGTGAGCAAATGCATTGTGCATCACTTGTTTTGTATATTCTTTCATCATTATCATTGTTAATATTTTCTCTTCCTTCACTGTCCTATTAAACTTTTTTTTATGTCAACCCACAAATTGTACCTTTTTTTTCCTGATTATCTCCCCCATGCCAGTGTGAGGGGATTGAGCAAGCGGCTGTGTGGTGTTTGGCTGCCTGCTGGGTTAAACCATGACAGTCCTTTTTGGCATGCAACGTGGCGCTCAAAGCGTTCAGATAACGACAGATCTGACCAGACTACGTTAAAACAAATTTGTTTTAAGTATTCATTATATCAGTTTAATAGTTGCTGGTCACAATGTTGATTTATTTGCTCTCAGAGTTGTTGTGCTTGTTATCCAAGCTGTGTTGTTATTGTGGTTTAACCCCAACCAGCAGCTAGGACCACGCAGCCGCTTGCTCACTCCCACCAGTTGTGAGTGGGGGGGAGAATCAGATGAGTATATGTGAGGAAAAACTCGTGGGTTGACCTAAAGGCAGTTTAATAGGTAGAGCAAAAGCTGTGCACACGAGCAAAGCAAAACAAGGAATTCATTCCCTGCTTTCCACGGACAGGCCATGTTCAGCCATCTGCAGGAAAGCAGGGCTCCACCACGTGTAACAGTTACTTGGGAAGACAAATGCCATAACTCCAAACGTCTCCCCTTTCCTTCTTCTTCCCCCAGCTTTATATACTAAGCATGATGTCATACGGCATGGAATATTTCTTTGGTCAGTTGGGGTCAGCTGTCCCGCTTGTGTCTCCTCCCAACTTCTTGTGATCCCCCAGTCTACTCGCTGGTGGGGCAGTATGAGGAGCAGAAAAGGCCTTGATTGCTTAGCAAGAATCAAACCCACCAGTGCGCTACCACACTATTCCCATCCAAAATCCAAAACATAGCTTTCCACCAGCTGCTAGGAAGAAAAATTAACTCCATCCCAGCTGAAAGCATGACAGTTGTGTAACACCTTACTTGCTCCCTGTTGTGATGATTATCAACTCTGGATCAAGGTTATCGTTCGGCTGTACTGTGTAACACCGATTGTGAGACTAATCTGGTATTTGTACTCAGCTTTGCCATCATCTCCACACTTCCGGAGCCACCTAGCGGAAACTATTAATAATTACACTCTTTACCTTTCCTCCTCGGAGAACCTATCTATGGGGGAGAAGGGGGGAAGGGGGAGAAGGGGGAGAAGGGGGAGAAGGGGGACATCCTTTCCCCTTCCCCTTCCCCTTCCGACTAGTTACAACAGCCCTTGAGAATTTTGAATATCCTTGGGATGTTCAAACCAGCATGTTCCTATTGCTACGTCTCCTGAATGCATTTCAGATCTTTTTTAGGGTTAAACAATTATTTAAGAACATCACCCAGAGCTGCCTCGAGGCTGGATAGTCATAGGTGGCACAGCATGTGGGAGAATATGGGCAGGTATCTAGAGAACGTCTCACCTCCGACAGTCTGAAACTTCACTCCTGAACAACTACAGGACCCTGATAGAGTGAGAGAATGTTTGAAAAAAAAAAAATGCTGTGGCTATTCCAAAGAGGCTAAACTTACTGCACTGTGCTGGGCCCTGGCCAGTATCTACCAAACACTGCTCAGTATTAGGCAGCACCCTCAGAGAAAAGAGAGGGAAAACAACCCGACAGGCACTGTGGCTACTCCAACCCCTGCAACAGACACTGCAGCTGAACCCAAGAACCAACCCACGCCAGCATCAGTCGTCCTTATACAGGAGAAGAAATGGACACACAAGTCAGCTCATTTAGCAAAGGATGATGAAGTTAGGGCCATCACGAGAAGAGGAGGAAGAGGTAGAACCGGAGGTAATCACCCGATCCCCACCCCTGAGTGAGCAGCAAGATATGCAGAAAGATTTCAGCCATCTCACCTGGCTGCTCCAATGCTGGGATAATGGGGCTGGTAGCCTGGAATTAGAGGGTAGGGAAGCCAAGCAGCCGGCATCCCTCTCTAAGGAAGGGGGCACTGACAAGGCAATTGGAAAAGGGACACAAGCCTTCAGCCTCTGGAGGCGACTCCTGTCAGGCGTGAGGGAAAGGTATCCCTTCAAGGAAGATGTTATATGTCACCTAAGCAAGTGGACCACCATGGAGAGAGGTATCCGGTACCTGAGGGAGTTAGCTGTGCTGGAAGTGATTTATAATGATCCGGATAACGAGTAGTTACCCACAGATCCAGATGAAGTCCATGCACACAACCCATGTGGCGGATGTTTGTACGGAGTGCACCATCATTGTATGCCAACTCATTGGCAGTACTAGCCTGGGAAGACAAAGAGGGACCAACGGTGGATGAATTGGCTGGCCAACTCCAGCAACAAGAAGAAAATCTTTCTTCCTCCCTGTGGGCCTGCATCTCGGCTGTGGAGAAACTGTCTGAAGAGTCTGAAAACCTGTTTGAAAAGCTGTTCCTGGAGTGCCAGTAACTCAAAGAGGATAGGCCCTTCCCACTACCTGTACAGACCAGTATCTCAACCATTAGGAGTAAGCATTCTTCTGCTCAAGAGAAAGTATATAGAGGGTACACACCACAGGCCACCCTGTGGTTTCACCTGTGGGACCACAGAGAGGACCTTACCTTGACCCTAGAGACACAGGTACGTGAGCTGCAATGAAAAAACAATCACAGAAGGGGGTTCTTCCAGGAAAACTGTTGCTCCAGTTTCCAGTGGGCAGTTCCCCAGACAGAGTAGAAGGGTTGACCTTACTTCTGATTTTAATGAAGGGACTTCTGACTTGTATTTACAAGCAGTGAATAATGAATGCTATTAGCCAGGACTAGAGGGGCCCTGCCTCCAGCCAGGTGGAGGAAAGGGACAACCAGGTAGATTGGATTGCGTGGATTCGATGGCCTGGTATGTCGGACCTATAGGAGTATAGGGCTCTGGTAGACACCGATGCACAGTGAACCCTAATGCCATCAAGCTCTAAAGGGGCAAACCCCATCTGTATTACTGGAGTGATGAAACTGAGCAAAGTGCAGCGGTGATGGAACCAGAACTGGCATCAGCAACTGCTGCCCACCAGCTTCCTCGAGATCGACACCTTCAACCTACAGACCATGGCCATGTGCCGCACCAGATACACCAGCCGCGAGCTTCAGATGCAGCATGCAACAATCCAACACCACACACCATCTCTCCTGCCATGAAAGACTGTTATGACAGTGGAGGTGGAGCCCAAAAGTCATGGATTAAATGAAATCAATGGGCATTTTAAAGGGACGGCCCATAGACGAGGGGAATGATATCTGTATGCCAGGAAAAGTAGTGGTGACTGACTGGAAAATGTAGGATCTGGGCATGACGTAGATGGTATAGAATAAGGGGTGATAATGTCCTGTTTTCAGCTGGGATAGAGTTAATTTTCACAGGAAGCTGGGAGTGGGTACAGCCAGGACAGCTGACCCAAACTAGCCAAAAGGATATTCGATACCATCTGAGGTCACACCCTGTATGTAACTGGGCGAGTTGGCTGGTGGGGGACAGGGATCACCGCTCGGGGAACGGGCTGGGCATCTGGTTCTGGGTGGTGAGCAACTGCACTCTGTATTGCTCGCTTTGTATATTCTTTTATCAATATTATTATTATATATCTCCTCTTTGCTGTTCTATTAAGCTGTCTTTATCCCAGCCCACAAGTTTTACCTCTTTCTTTCAATTTTCCTCCCCATCCCACCAGGCGTGGGAGGAGTGAGTGAGTGGATGCATGGTACTGAGTTGATGGCTGGGGCTAACCCACGACACACAGTTACAAAACAAAACCCTTTAAAACCCACCCTGCCCTCGTGCTTCTCACTGAACATCCTCTCAAGAGCATAACCTGCCCCTGAGCTGTGACTCAGAGCACACGCAGAAACCCAGGGGCTCCCAAAGGCAGCCAGATCACAGCAAATCAGTGTTAATTCAATTGTCAGCGTTAAAAAAATGCCCCTCACCATGGCTCAAGGCCCATATTCATAAAAACAGTATGAAGTCATTAAACAAGGTTAATGCCTGCTACTAAAAACCAGCACAAAAATCTCTCTTCAAAAAAACGCCATGTTAAATCACATCTGTGCTAAAGTCCAACATGTTACATTTCATTTCCTTGAGAACTGCATAGTAAGACACATAAACTTAGCATTTCTTACTACTAAACTCTCTTATTTTGCATTTTTTGGCAGATCCTGGCATTCAGCATTTTCAGCAGGACCCATCTGACACCCTGCCCTTGAGAGAACACTGGCCGGGTCCACTCCAGGAACCCTCACGTGACAGGGGCAACAAGGGGCGGTGTTTGATACACACATGCTGAAGAAAGTGCCACGTTTCAGGAACACGTGGCAAAAAAAGACCAAGAAGAATGGATAAACTGGGCTGAGGTGGCTAAACCAGTCTTCAAAGCCTCCACCTCCCCCATGAAGGGGAAAAAGAAAGACCAGAGACAGATCTGGAAAAGGACATCAAAGCACGAGTGTGAGAAAACACGACAAATTAACAGAAAATGACTCTCCTGTTCCACCATTTATTTTGGCACCGAAATACTGGTTCTCAGTGTAACAGAAGACTCCCAGCCAGCACCTGCAAACGCTACGCTCAGGGCCTGTCCACACTGCCTCTTAAATCTGCCACAATCTGTCTGAACTCTGTGACAATTCTACTCTTTTTAAAATGACCAGATTTACAACGTAATGGACTAAAAATCTAGGCAGACCCTGGCTAACGAGCAGAGGTTATAATGCTCTGTCCATGAGCTGCCTCAGCACGGTTTCAGAGCTCAGCAGTTAAAAAAATCAGGCTTTTTTAAACTATCGCAGCAGTTTGCCAAGGATGCAAACTGAAGGCTTAGGAAAGGACTCAGAAGAGAATCTGTGTGGTTCATACATCCTGTAACTGTGATTTTCATGGTCGCCTCCATGTTTTACGCTACTATGCACAACTGTGAGCCTGCAGGCTGTGGAGCAGCAGCACTCAGACCCCAATCCAGACCCTCAGGATTAAATGTTGGAAGGCCCTCTGGCTGCTGCCAAACGTGCTGTTAACTATCATCTGGTTGTGACCTGACCGTGATGTTTGATGGCTTGGCTTTTAAAAGAAAGATTTCCACAGGGAGCAGAACTCTTACCACTTTCTGCTTGCTTTTTGGCTTGAGGGTCTGATGGGCTGTTAGCCACACCTTTTAGCATCTTACTTTTCACTGGCTTCATGACAGTCTCACCAACAGGAACCTTTTTCATGCCTGGGTTCTTCAGTGTCTTTGCTCTCTTTGTTTCCAAGCCGGGATCATCGGGAGCTGAGGTTTCCTTCTGAACAGGTTCAGACTGTGCTTTGTGCACAAATTCTGCAGACAGGACCTCTGCACCTGGGACAGGGAAAAGGGAGGGCATTTCTTTTGGTTTGAGGCATATTCAGATTAAAAAAGGAGTAATTGCAAAATAAGCAGTTAAGGAATGTGGAAGGACTACTTTAGAAGTGATTGGCAGCAGAGTAGGCTTCAATGACTTGATTTATGAATCTGATCTTACAAATGGGTTTGTTACTGATATGAGTGATCAGTAAGCAGTTATTAAAAATTAAGAATCACTTCTTAAGCTCATTAAAAGCCTGCTTTCCTGACCTAGAACATGTGTTCTCTGGGGATAAGTCACTCTAATTCCTGCTTGGCACACTTGTACCCTGAGGGTACCTATTTACCTCTCCAAGAACCACCCAAGAACCTCTCCCAGATCCATCAGCAATGCCACCCAGGCCCCAAGAAACATGCCCCAGGACAGAGCTTGATGCACTATGAATGAGAGCTGACTTCAGCCCACAGTGGGCAGATGCTGTGCCACCCCCTGTGCTGCACAACAGCCCATTTCCAGTCTGTTGCCGCTACCTGTGATGTGTGTAAATGCCAGGGGAGGTCACCAAGTATGACACTGCCTTTGCAGGCAGGTGGATCCTTTGGATATTTTCAGCCATGTTTCATCATCAAGGTTGGGATTCATCTCAACCCACTTTGAGTGTCTCTACAAATCAGGCGTAGGCTCTAGCTGGCTCAAAAAGACAGGCTTAGCCTATCCTCCGCAGTGAGACAGGAGCCTTCAGAGGACAATTTATGCCATCAAGACACCTTGCATGAGTGGCTCAGGCCAGACACCAGGTTTCAGCACAGAAAGCTGGGTGTGATCAGTCTCACACTTCTTGTTTCCTCAAGACCACAGCAAGAAAGTTGACTCTCAGGGAGTCACAACGTGACCATGTAGAGTCGCTGGTTATCTAGGCAGCCTGTAATGACCACGGCTTGGGCAACTGCTCCTTGTCTGAGCCAGACAGCCCGTGGACAAGGGATGCAATGACCACAACCTGGCTGGTGTCCCTGTGCAGTCACCCGTAAGCAAAGGAAGGTAACAGCATGGACTGCTGCACCGGATTTCAGGCACGTTCACTGAAATCCCCTGTCATAGCCCTGGGCTCCTTCCCAGGTTGAACAAGAGACTGCAAGAGACTGTAAAGACATCGCCACAGACCTATTTGGATGCTCTCAGGAGGTGTCTGCTTGCTTTGGGCACTGGGGGGGATGGCAAGGGACTTGGCTCCTAGCAAGCCCTGAGTATCCCAGTTGGATACCCTGGAGAAGCCAAAGAAAGTCACTCCCATTTATATAGCACTTACCTCTTTTCCTTCTGTGTGGAAACTGCAAATTGGCTAATTTAAGCATGGGCTCGTTGGAACTGGATGTGAGCCCTGGCTTTTTAGGAAATGAGAACGAGATGTTGATTTTCTTCTTCTTGGTTGCTTTCCTGTTCCTGCCGCTGTCCCCCATAGGATGCATCTGCATTTTGAGGGGTGACCATTTCTTCCTGGTGCTGGTCACAACGGCTCGGCTGGATTTCCTCCTGCTCTGCTGCACCCACAGCTTGCTAGCCGAGTTGACGTCTTTTGTGGGCACTTCACCACTCTGGTCCAGCTCCACAGTGGGCTTTGGGTTTTCACTTTTGACTTTTCTTTCTGCTGCTGTGTTGGGAGGAATAGGGTCTGGTGGTACAGCTGAAGAGAAGTCCACTTTACAATCAGCCTCTGAATCGCAGCAAAGAGACTGAACAGCACCAGTCAAACATCCTAAGGCAGCTGACATTTCCAGAGTATAGCTGCTGGGATCGGAGAAATAACGCTGCAGCTGGGAGAAGGACAGCTCTGAGCATTTTTTGAAGGGATTAGTACATTCACCCTCAGTTGGTGAGGGGAGAGAAGAAAGGGGAACTTCGCTGGTTTGGCCAGAGGTAGGCTGTGGATTTTGATGAAGCTTCGTGTATTCCTGGAAGTGCTGTTTGATACATATGCTGGTACTGACTGTGTCCCTCCATGAAGAATTAGTGGCTTTTTGTAAGGCATAACGAAGTCCAGGCAAAACTGAGGCTATTTTTAATGAGATGTCACTATTATCACTATCTTCCTTTTCATCTTTTGGATCGTGCTTTTCAACTGCAAAAGCAAAAGAACAGAATTTTACTCATACTAAAAAAGGACTAAATTCCCCAAATCACCTCACTGTTACATGCTAAGAGAACATGAAAGCTATGAAAAAGCCCCAGAAGCCAACCTACAAAAAGCTAGCCTCAGGGGCAATGTCCTGGTTTGATGGATGCTTGTAACTGCTAAATGTAAAAAAAAGAATTGCATGTGGGAGTCAAAAGTGGATTAAACTAAGATGAAAGACTGCTGTTGTATCAACTAGCCCCACTCGCAGGAAATTATAGGGTGAGATCGCACACGTAGAAGTCTAAGTCCCTTCACTCCAGCAATTCTAGCTAAATCCAACATTTAGTACAGTCAGAGCTCTGAAAGTACATGGAATTTCTTGGGTTTTAAATCTGTTTAAATTTAGGGTTGTCCATGCAGGATGTTTAGACTAGCACCATTTTCAGATCCTGTTCATATGCAAGTTTCAGCAGCTCCATCGCTACCTGCTGTCAGTGTGGGTGGACACGCTTCACATGAAGACACATCAGTGCACTGGAGTGAGATGGGGAACACAGACTGACCCGAGCAGACGTGGGGATTATATAAATAAATAACATGAAACATTGGGTGATTTTCTAAAGATGGAGGACTGATGCTATTGAAAACAGCTGGCGTTTCTGTTTTCAGCTTTTTCAGGACTAAACACACAGCATACCTAACTGCCACGTACAGTGCACAGTATCATAAAAGTTTAGCTCCCAACAGGCATCAACATGAACAAATCCCAAGGCTTGACAGTGCCCACTTTTGCAGATGTCACCGTGGAAGTAGGCTCTGCTTGGCACAGCAGCATCCTCTCGGTGCCTGGAAATGCCTGGAGAGTCGGTGTGATAGGCAGAGCCTGTTGGCGGAGCTCCCTTTCCACGCAAGCCAGACTTATCTGGCTTCATCCGCTGCAACCCAGCAGCCTGGTGCTGGTGCTTTGCACCCGCAGGTTTGGCCCATCTGCATGTTATGATCATCTGAGGTTTCTTTTGGCTGCAGGGCCAGGCCGACAACCCCAGTGCCTTTCCCCATCACATCTCTTCACAGCAAGGCAAAGGCGTTTCTCTTTCC